CGGGACTGGGCTTTTTTTTTTTTTTTTTTTTTCGTTTTTTCATTATGGGTATATTTTTGGAAATAGGTCTTTTCAAAATAATTTTTTAATGTTTTTATTTGTGTCCGAAGTTTATATTTTGCAGGAATAAATTCGATGCCCTTGCCTATATTATGTGTAGCTTTCGAACTCGTAAATACCATAGAGATTGAGGTAGAAGGTCTGAAAGTTAGTGTGTTTGTTGCTCCTAATCTAAAGTTATGATATATATATATATATATATATATATATATATATATATATATATATATATATATATATATATATATATATTAATTTATAAAGCACATAATATTTGCATGCAGTTGACAAACTTTCGAGTGTTACATGAAACAGGAAACATTTTTGACGTACTACTCTGCCTGCCTTCCACAGGACCGCAAATTTGGCACCTAATGCAGACCGCGGTGGAAGCGGGGCCGTCGTGCAATCTTGAAACTTTTTTTTCTTTCTCGTAGTGAAAACGCGGTTTCGAGACAAAAAGTTCCGTTTCGTGCGATACATTTGCGTGTACATCACATATAAAAACAAAAAACAGAAAAAAATGAAAATGTTGAGTGGACCTGCAAGTTCGACCTCTCGTGGAATCACCCAGTAGCGAAATGCACTCAAGTGTGTCGTGCCTCGACGGAGTGGTAAAAAATGCCCTTCAGCAAATTTAGATCCCTGTACAAACGATGCTCAGTTAATAACGTCCCCTTCATTTTTTTTTATATGTATTTTTGCTAATGCTGCTCACTGATTTGTTTTACTATGTTTCTATATTGCATTGTTTAGATTCCACATTCCTTGTGTCGCTGCTCACGAGATTGTATCACTATGTTTCTATATTAAAATTTTTAGTTTCCCATCCCTTGTGTAATGCCCTGTAATGGGGCCATACTTGGGTAGTAATTCAATTACTGTAATGCATTTACTATAATTTAATTACTTTTCTTTGTGATTTGTAATTGTGAATAATTTCTTTTACCTGAAAGGAATAGTAATTTAATTACTTTCTAGCGTCAGTAATTGCGAAATTTCAGGCACAATTACATTACTTTTGCAAAACTTTGTGGCGCCGACGGAACCTCTCTGATAGGGAGGAGGAATAATCTTTATTATGGCGAGCCTTAGGTGCGGATGTCGCGCCCAAGGGGGGTTTCTCTGGTCCGGGATACCCTGGCCTGTGCTGGCCACTCCGGCCCTCTCCACCAGGCTACGCAGCCTCAGAGCTCGCACACGCGGCATAGCTCTTGGTGAAACACTCACACACAGACACAAACTCACTCACGCACTACATAAATAGCGTCGCATTGCTTGTTGTTTTGTTGCTCACACTGCTTGCTTCGAGACAATCCTCTCTGGAGCCTACCTTAACGGCTCCGTGTAGCGCCGTCTGCGGCGCGAGAAGGAAACAATAATGTAAACATGCCAAAGCTTCATCTTTCAGCCGAGGTTGGGAATTTTAATTGTCTATGAAGTTATTTTTATTTCTTTTTGCCAGTTTTTTTACGTCCCTCTTCCAGTACTGTCGCGTATGCCTATCTGTGTATTATTTTCAAGTTTATTTCATGTTGGTTTTACTTCGGATATTATTTGCATTAGCACTTTGGAGACTGACCTCGCACCTGAGAATATTGTCACCAATGAGTCGGGAGCCCCGATATCGGTACTTATATATTTCTGAGGCATTATAATTTCAACTCTATGTAAATAATTTACAATACCTTGAAGTTTGTTTGTGAATGCGGTTGTGTTATCGCATGTGGATTTCACTTTTATATTAACACTCGTAAAATATTCCAATATGAACAGTTGTCACATTTTTATTTGCCTGGCTAACAAAAGTCTGTCAACCCAATTTTTTTTAGCGATCTGGAGTCTTCCAGCATGTGAGCTATTTTATTATTATTTATTAAAATATATAACAACGTAGTACTTCATTGCCCCAAACTGTCAAGCTCTATCATGAATTTAACTAAATTCATAAAAAGAAAGTACAATACGTGAACATTGGAGTAAGGAATGAACAAGTACTTTCCATTCTACACAACTCGCTTAAAGTTATATGGCCCAAGTCGGGTCTCTCTCAGAAATAACTAATCGTAAAGTAAATGCATTACTTTTTAAAAGTAATTTGTAATTGTAATTCATTACTTTTCACGTAGTTGTAATTGTAATTATAGTAAACTACTTTCGAAGCACAGTAATTGAAATTAAATTACATTTTGGAAGTAATTTACCCACGTATGAATGGGGCCTTCAAGGTATTATGAAATAAATAAATAAACATCATGTTCACGCTAACTTTGTCGCGCTAGTGCGCTGTTATCATTATTACAGTACAGATGCACGAAACGTGTGCGATATATTTACAAGTACTATCGCGGAGAATATGAGCTGAAACAGCGCTCCGGCCTCTGCACGGTACTACCTGCGCCGCCTGTCGCATCGCTCCCTAAACACGGCGCGCCCTGAGGCCGAGATAAATTCTCACTTGCGCTCACTGCGCCACTGCGCTCTTCCGGCCGTCTGCTAGCCCAATATTCACGTCTTCAGCTACCATGAATTTCAGTGCAATTCAAGAAAGCGCCGAAGTGGAAAATGCGCTGTCACGCTCGTATCTCCTCGAGGAGCGCTGCCTGACGAAGCTGCCTTGGCCCCTAAAAGGAGCCGATCTGAATATCATCGAAAACATTTGGAGGCGCATCAAGGTAGCCATGTCACGGCGTCCCCTCCGCCGCGCCACTGCCTAAAAATTGTGGAAAGCAATGGGAGGCGAATGGGAGTGGCTTCGGGGCTGAGCCAGACTTCGGGGCCGAGCTCTATGATTTCTTACCAGACAGGATGAGAGCCGTGGTCGCGGGTCGGGGGAGAATGACGCGGTATTAAATTATTTTGCAAGTTTTACTGCGCCTCAGGACCCCCTGAACTGGACTTCTGCCAATTGGAACAAAGCTTGATGCTACGGTTGCGACACCCTGTTTGATGCCGTTAACCACGCATACTTTTTGAGGGGTGCCTCCTTCATCCCGATATTCTTGTATAGTGCAGTTGAACTTCCACGCCGACTATTAACCTTTTGTGTCTGACAATGTCCTGTGCAAATATTCTTTCGATTAAGTTCTAGTCTCCTTCTCTTGACAACTATATGACTGTTTGTCACACCTTATTAAGACTAGGAATTCGTAAACAAAAAACTGATGTCTTGTCAGCAACTTGTTTTGCTTGAAACAAACACGTAGGCCCAGTAATAAAGAAGTAATATATTTAAACCGCTTCATACTAATCAAGGTTACCAAACCTTCTCAGTAACTTGCATGCTTACCGTTTTTTGAACATCTGTGATCAGTGAAACAGAAAAAAAAATACATTGGAGCTGGACTAAATCTGGCATACAGATTTTGGCCTATATTTTACGATGTCCCACCTTGTGCATTCACCTATAATCAAACAAAAACAACCTGCAACGTATTTTGATATGACTTTCAAAAACGGTAATCGCAGTTGAAATTAAAGACACTTCAATATTTTTTCTTCACCAGTCAGCGTTTTTTATATGGGATTTTGCGCGATAAAGTAAAGTCAATACCAAAGAGGAACGACAAGTGTAATGTTTTGTTCCCCCCGCCGCCCTACCACACACATGCCCGCTGTCGCACCCACCGTCTCGCTTGCAGACAGCCGGAAGAGCGCAGTGGCGCAGCGGGCGCAAGTGACAAAATATCTCGGACTCAGGGTGCGCCATGTGTGGGGAGCATGGCGACAGGCGGCGCAGGTAGTACCGTGTGCCGGCCGGAGCGCTGTTTCAGCTCATATTGTCCGCGATCGTATATTCGAATAATTTTACCCACGCTAAGCTGAGATGCGCTCGGTGCCGAAATGTATATATTTATTTATAAACACGGGTTTTTCGACGTTCTAACTTTCAGCGTTTACGTAATTTGGCGTGATGGCGCCAGAACCAGAAAAATTTGAACCGTGTTTTGCTTACCACAAAGATTAACATCGAATCGCCAGGTCGCCAGTCCTAGCGGATGAGGTTAGATGCCAAGGCGCCAAGGTTCCAAAATTTATAGTTATCTGGTTTAAAACCTGTAAACAACTTCAAACATTTTTTAATTAGGAAGTGGCGTTTGTATATTGGTAAGAGGCGAAAATCATCCTGTATTCGCGAACTCCGTTGACTACTATTTTCATTTCTAAAAATTCCAGTTGTTCCTTATGTAACGATGGGGTTGAAACTTTCACATTCAAAGCTTTTAGGCAATGTTCCTAAATTTCTCATGCAGAAATTGATGTTTGTCCGGTAGCAGACGCTATTCATCTTCACGTATTCGCGGGCTCCGTTGGCCGTCATTTTCAATTAAACTATTTCCTAAATCGCTTTGTAATTTTTATTTATATAACAGTAGATTCTCAAAGTTCGGAGTCCTATCCCAGGCACTAGGGCTACATGTAGGCTGAGACTGAGCGCTCGGCGATAAGTAGTTTGTAATTTTCGATACGAAAAACGCGGTTTGTATTTTTCTCAAACACCCTGTACATCTCCAGCACGCTGATGATCACCAGAAAAATGCCTTACATACCTGTAATGCAACATCCAGGACCCAAGTAAAAAAAAACACACAACGTCATTACACCATCGTAAGTTTGCTTTGCGGAACGCATGCAACTTTTGCAAAATCCACTTACGCCTCCTTTTTTGGTATGACACTCAGCTCGGCGACGAACTGCGACAGGGACTCATCGGCCGCGGCATGCCAAAGCCTTCAGGCGGGTTAGATGCAGTCCGGACTGTCAGCGAACCGTACTGTCTGCACGTAGCCACACAGCAGCCGGCAAAAAAAGAGGGGCAAGGCATTTATTTGCACGCACAAACATTAGCGGAAGTTCAGAACAACACACGGGGGCCAAGCTATTTTAGTGCTACCAAAACGCCTCACAGACACGCACACGCTCGCTGAGACGGAACGCACGTTTGGAGATCAGAAGAAATGGCCGTTGTTGTCTCCGCGTCGCTGTGGATAACTTCTTCAAGGCGCTCAGTATTTTACTTATGCGCTGGATAAATGAAAATCGCAATTAAGACCACAGTACACAACTTCGCTACCCAGCTGACTGTCCTCTGTGCTCTGTCTGTCGTCTGACTCGCTCGATAAGCAGACGACACTGGCGATATCATGACACGTGATCAAAGCCGAGGGGCACTCTAGTTGCTCTTTTAACTCTCGTAATGCCACAGATCCTTGCACGCCTTGCACGGATCCCAGGGATTCTCTGATTTAAACATTTGAAGTCAAAGTAAATGCAGGGCGAATGCTTTGGTAACGATCTTGTTGCAAGCATCACACATAAGAAAAATATACGTGATATTATTTGCTTTCTTCTCCTTCTTTCCTGGGGAAAGCACAGAAAGCCAGTTAGTGACGCCACAGGTGTTTTCAGACGAAGAGAGTTAACTTCTAGGGTTTGTAAATTTACGAGAGAAGGAGTTTATTATAACCCTGCTTTCTTTATAAGACACAATTATTATTATTTAGGGGCAGTTTAGGGGAAATTAATATTTCTAGATCACTCTACTTCCAAAACACGTCATTCACACAGACGGACCTCTTCCATTGCGGCTCAGCACGAGCGCTCCCAACATCACCGAAAAATCGCCATCAAGCGTGTATTTATTTGTGAGCTGAGCAGAAAACGCCGACAGAATCTGGCCCAAAGCATGGTTTGTTATATTTCTTTATAGCGTTCAAATAGAGCTCTATCGCCCCACAGCTCCTGTTACGCACCCAGCTTACTTATCGCCGGCGCCTACCGTCGTGGACGGCCCAACCGCACGCATTTGGTCGCATCCAGAGGAACGCCGTGGCGCGCCGGCATTTCCGAACACTTGCGTTTCACTCGCATTCTTATCACATTAAATGACAATTAACTCAAAGTATTTTAGCTCTAAGCGCGATCACTCGGTTTGCGAGCGAGATGTGGCTTTCGGCGACGGCCTACGTGTCGAACGACGATCCAAAGGGCTCCACCCGGTGGATCGCGCGCAGCGTTAAGTCGAATGGCATATTCCGATCTCGATGGTAAAGTTCAAATGTTCCCCCGTGGAACTAGCGGAAGCGACACCTGAATCGTGGCAGAATAAGCACCGAATCCGACTTCGTTAGCCGAATATGCCAAACTGTTCACACCTTCCATCGTAAACCGGAGACACGAAAAAATAAAAAAAACGGACAAACAACAAGTCTCAAACACAGCTTCTCTGAGAAGCTGTTTCTGAGAAGCTGTGTTTGAGACTTGTTGTTTTGTCTGTTTTTTTTATTTTTCCGTGTCTCCGGTTTACGATGGAAGTTCTTCACCAGCTCGCCTGTGCTTTTACCCTTTCTTTGTTGACACCGCTCAATATAAGGTGCCAGGAAACGACTGACGTGAACTTTGATATTTTATTGTTCCTTCTCCCTTCCGCGTTTTACTTTTTTTTTTTTTTCAATCTGTGTGTATGTTAGTGGTTGCGATATAGAGGTTTATAATAACAGCCTATACTTAAGTTACTACAAGGGCGTGTTCTACGCACGATGATTAATTCTTGTCAAGTTTAGCGAGTGTTTCCCTTGAACCACCAAAACAGTGCACAACACAGAAAGGTGCCAAAGTGTGTTTCTCGATTGTCCTGGTAGATTACGGTAATTTCTACAATCGACCGCAGATTGTGTTTACGTAGTTTTATCGGTCTCGGCAAATAAGCCATTTTCTGTGAGAATATTTCTCAAAAGATGTTTACGTATGAAATGCGTATGGCACACAAGCTAAATAGATCTGAGTGCTGAACTGTGGCGAGCAAATACAAATGCCATTAACAGCGTCCTAAAAAAAACGAATTAGTTTAATTTTAGTTTTAGACCAGCTGCACCTCGGATGTTTTGTTACCACTAATTAAGTGGCCGCATAAGAAATATGAATAAACATAAAAACTCTGCTCTCATCTTATTTGCAAGAAATATGTGCTTTTAGCATCTGGCTATGAAGGTTCACTTTAAAGGTTAACACCCCCTTCAATGCTGTTAACTTTTACAAAAAAAAAAATGAAAAAAAAAATCCTTATTTTTTAAACATTGGTCTTTACTAAAAAAAAAAAAAAAAAAAAGAAAGCGTAGATGTGAAGGATACCACCGCCACACAACTTCCAGAATTCCATATTTTTTTCGGGGATTGTCTCGAGTGACCTGATAGGCTCATGACGTGTTTTGAAAATAACCAGAGTAAACTGGCATGCCCACAATGAAATTTGGCATTGTTCTAGGCACTTCAACAGTGGGGACCCGCAACTAGATGAAACTAATGGCATGCACCTGCCAAGACTCACAGTTTATTCAGCCACATTGTTGCTTTCAAGATGAGGCGAGAGCTGGTTGCTTTTGCACATATTGCCCCGAAGCTGAGACGCTCTTGTGCCCAATTACACTGGTCTTCTGTTGTTCCTCCACCCCATTCTTGGTGGTATGAAGTCAGAGCCAGTGGTAGAAACAAGCATGGTGGCAATGGGAAAGGGGGAGGGAGGGAGGAGTTAATCTACATACAGGAAAGCACAACTACATTTTGATTTCATTGGTATTGACAGCACCTATCAGAGCCTCGTTATATTGATTTACAATTTATTTTTTTTGCTGGAGTTACCGGCCACGTTCAGGTCACTGGATACGTCCACCTTTTTAATATATTGCCTTTGGAGCCGATTGCACTTGCACCACCATTGTGACAGCCTTTTCATGCACCGCTGGAACCGCTTTTTTATAGTGTGCCACTCCCACACCTGTACAGCTGGTTCCAGCTCATCAATGGCTGTGAAGTGGCATGCTCGCGGGGATATTTTCATAGCCTTGAACAGGTGAGAACCACCGGGAGCCAGATCAAGCCGTATACACGCACATCCAAACATCCAACAGGTTGTACAACGCGTCGGAAAGCTGCTTGAACCCCACCAGCTGCCATCCAATCGCGGCCTCACGTGACGCCGTGATTGACCAGCTCCTTGTTGGGTTTGGCCATCCTTACGATGCATTGTACGGCCTGTCGGGCACTTGGTCGTGCATGTGTACGACTCGATCTGGCCACCAGTGATTATCAATTGCCTGGAGCTGTGAGAAAATGCCCACGAGGACGCCATTTTGCGGTCACTGATGAGCTAAAAGCAGCTGTCTGGATGTGGGAGCGATGCACTTCCAAGAAGTGGTTCCGGCAGAGCTCGGAAAGGCTGCCCCACAGGGGACGTGAGTGCATTCGGCCCCAGGGGCTGTTTGTCGAAAAGATCAACATATCTACCGACCTCTAAGTAACCAGTTGTGCAGCAAAAAGAAAAAAAAAACTCAAATCCATAGGGTATGTTGTTTGTAGCTCCAGAGTCAGCGGGACAGTTACTTCTGCTCTGGTGTAGGTTGCAAGAAGTTTAATTGTCACCTGTAGTTGAAGCCTGCTAACAAAACAACATTTGTCTCAACTTGTACAGGTCAGAAACTTTCACTGTGAAGAACAAAGGCCAACAAGGCCGAATTTGCATATGAAAATAAACATGCAAAACTACCTGCCAAATTTTAAGCTTTTGCGGTCGTTGTGCACATTGAGCCACCAAGTTCTGTGAGTACTGTGGAAGGCTCTCGTGCTCTAAGCCCACATGCGCCTTGGCAGCATGTCCTGCCCACTCACTCTGAGCTTCAGCCCTTCACATTTATTTCATATAAAAATTCTCGGGGCTATTGGCACTAAAGAGCAAACTGAGTACAACAAAATATAATGAGAAAAAAACAAGACAGTAATGCACTTTGCTTATTGCGGTTCAAACAGTAAAATGGTGTTCATAGCATTTTTAAGCAATAGATAATAATTAACAATAGGTAGAACAGAACTGGAAGGTGGTTACATTCCAGAGAAGTTCTGGGGTCGAGTGACTGATAAAACGGGTTAGTGTTCGATTTAGGTATACTGTAAACGCCCTTATTTACATGGGCTCGGTATTTTGCGAATTTCGTCAAGTTAAATTTCGGGAATATTGCGTGGGCATAAAATTTTGCACTTACGATACAATATAAACTTTATTTTTCATCCCAAATCCAAGTGGTGAATGGGAGGCTGGAGAAAAAGCTGTAGAACTGCAGCTTGACGGCGCTTCGGGCCGCCCATTCAGCAGCTACAATGGAGTACGTAGTATACTCTGGTCAGACAAAGAGGAAGATTCAAATTATTTGGCTAAGGGCTAATTTTGACAATATCTACGCTTTAAACCCATCCAATACCGCACGCGTCACGCGCTGCCGGGCCGTCCGTACCGCATGTTTTGATTGTATAATTAGCTTTTACAGTAAAACTTAATGCAGGGAACAAGAAAACATGTTTATTTACATGCTTAAGTGATTCATTCGAGTCTATAAATCACTAGGCCCTCACAGATTCCTCCTCGTATGAAAGATCTTGAAGCACTCCATCCTCGGTCGCTTTGGCGTCGCCCAACCAGTGCGCTCTTGTCGTGACTCGGACTCGGAACTGGTGTCGGAATTGCTCCCATCATCGACAGAAGTCTCCGAAAACTCGCTATCCTCACCAGACGTCCCGTCATTATCGCTGTCGAAGAGGATATCTATGATCTCATCGTCAGAAAGGCCACACTGTCTGGACACAGCCACCTTCCCCAGGCAGGCAGCGATCGAGTGGGAAAGACGACACACAAAAGAACAAGCTCGAACAAACACAGCGAACAGAATGACCCTCGCCATCTGTTGGTAATGTATTTAACTACACTACCCCAAGTCTAGATAGTGCACCATCTATCAATGGCTCTTTAAAACAGAAATTCATGCAGCCCGGCGAATCGCCGGCTTTGGCAATATGGCCCCTGACGGCACGCCCGGCGATTCGCCGGTTTTGGTAGTGAAGGGGTTTACAAAATAGTTGTTCAGTGGAGATGGTAAAGAACAACAAATGTTTGGTTTTCCATAGAAAGTTCTACATTTTGGAATTTGCCAAGGCTGGTAATTTCTCAATGAGTAATAATCACTTTCTTCAAGTAAATTAGCTGGCTTAAGAGATATAATTGAGCGTCCATATGCCACATATTTCTGCACCATAGTTAAACGGTAGTTATAAATTTGGTGGATATTGACAATCTTGTATGATTTTAACAGTGGTTGCGTATGATGAATATAGGAAATGTTTCCTATTATTCTAACCACCTTTTCTTGCAGTAGGGGTATTGTATGTGTCTGAAAAAAATGTATTACCCCAGATAGGTTGTGATAAAACAAATGGGAATAAAATAAGTTAAGACCTTTTTCACACTGGTTATAAGAACATGCCTGCGCCTATTTATGATTCCTACAGATTTGGCTGATTTAGAGCATAGATACTTCACATAATTGGTCCAGAGCGAGTCATCAGAAAAAACGACTCCGAAGGTTTTAACGCTGTTTACGAATGTAACGTGCAAGGACCCGAAGTTAAGAGGACTGTAAGCTCTGTTACTCAAACCACGGGGGCAAAACAGTGTTGCTTTTGTTTTTGACATATTTATATTGAAACAATGAGACTCAGACCATGCTTTTGATCTTGTGTGTTAGCCTCATTTATAAAGCCCTCTTTGGACGTGTCTCAACAAAAAATGTTTGTGTCATCCGCATATATTATATACTTGCAGCTGGGAATCAATGTTTACTATATCATTTATATATAAAAAAAGGA